ATCCCCAACGATCAGATTTCTCGTATCTTTTACTTTTGTAGGATTAATTAATGTATGACATATTTAGTATTACATTCTGTATTTCATTTTATTTAAATAGTACAGTTATAATCTCGTTCATAGAAAAGTACCGCTTGTACAGTATGGTAAAACTTATATTTCTTAAGAGAACGTGAAGTCTATTTGGATCGGTCTATAAGTTAGTGCGGTTTTAATTTCGATTTAAATTTTCCGCATAATAATTGCCTAACAATTATGTCTCCTACGTCATTCGAAAGCTTTGGTTTTCTCCTGTTATGCGACTGTTTATTTATTCGTTCCATGCGAGTAATAAAGTGATTAATTTTATGAAAACTATGGAGTGCCAAGGTAACAAGAATGAACATCATCGACATATTTTGCTGTACGATTAATTCTTATTCACTTGACACTCTATAGTTTTTAAAAAATTAATCACTTTATTACGAATTTAATCGTACAGCAAAACATATCGGAGATGTTCATTCTTGTTAACTTGATAATCCATAGTTTTCAAAAAATTAGTCACTTTATTACTCACATGGAACGAATAAGTAAACAGTCGCATAACAGAAGAAAATTAAAGCTTTTGAATGATGTATGAGACATGCTCGTTAGGCAATTTTATTATGCGAAAAATTTAAATCGAAATTAAAAGCGCATGTGAACTTATGGACCAATCCAATATTACGATAAGATATAATTGAGAAATTAATTTATTATAATCCACAAAGAATCAAGAATTGAATACATGTTTCTCTCAGTACGAAAATGTTACAATTTATCGTTGAATCTTCACATATTATCTTGTGAGGGTTTGTAACATTTTTGCAAATTAGTAATTCAAGATATATAAGTACTTCTTTGCTTTGAAATGATACATATTATTGATAAAGCTAACGGGATATAAAAGTAAAAACGTTTCTGTGTTAATGTTAGAATAAAAAGCAATAGAATTTCTTACACTTTAATGGCTACAAATATAATCCTTTTTTCTTCTTTTGATTCGTCTTCTTCTCTTGCCTTCCATCGCAAGCTAAGTCCACCAACCTGAGTATAGGAAGGTATAATAGGACTCATACTTCCAGTTAGAGTTCATCTCATAGTCCAGTTGTATCCTCATCCCGCTTGTAATCTATTAAAAAAATTATATTATTTGCTGCTTAGGGTTTAAGAAAAGAATATACAAATTGTGATAAAATCTTAAACCAAGTGAAATTTGGTAACTCAATATATTACTAATTCATGTGAAAAATGTTTTCACAGAAATATAATTTGTTCTAATTCCATCTTGTTACTTGTAAAAAATTGTAATATTTTAAAAAATCGTCTTACTAAGTATCTATTAATATTGTTAGAGTGCCAGAAAGTAGTTAGAAATTTGTTTCTATATGTAATATATGAAATCAAAATAATAGCAGCAAGTAAAGTATTTTATTGACGACGTTACTTAGATTCATGTGTGATATGTTCAACTTGTAAAACAATATTATAGCAACATGCAGTATTGCATTACAGTACTCGTGTGTGCTACAATATTATTTCACTGTGTATGAATATATTTTAAAATATAGTTCAAGAAATTACGAATGACCCACATAAATATCTAAATGCTGGGATCAAAATTAAAAATATTCAAACATAGCATTACTTGGAGAAGGCTGGATTGAACTTGAAAGAATACTGATCTAATCTGTTAAGAGATGGAATTAAAACTGACGCGTATTAAATGCTAAAAGCAATCGCTATCGCAGCATCATCGCAACGGTATTTTCACAATCGACGATTATAACATTTCCGACAGTTTTCTACCGTGAATTTTAGTGTCCGCAATATACGACTGATATCTAGACACATTGTGTCTATTTGTTTCTTCAGTTTATTCATATATATGTATAGATATATATATATATATACACACATGTATGTATATATATTATTTTGTTGCTTAAACGGGCAAAGAGTAAAGGGCGCACGCGTTGAACATACCTTCTGTTTAAATTCAAAGCACCGCCAGCTTTGAGCGCAAACGCAATTTGTAGCACGTAATCCGCATATCGAAGCTTGCACTATTCACCAGAGTGTCGCGTCTACGGGCCACACGCATAAGTTTCTTCAATAATCTGACGTTGATATGCCACCAGGATTCGAAGTGCGGTGCGCTTACGCGGGTTCGTCGCACAATTCAAGATTACGCTGTCTGAGTATAACACATGTAGATTCCATCAAACTTCAATCAACGTTCTACATTTCAGAATGCCTTGTTTTATTCAATTGTCTAAATAATTTTATGAATTCTTTTTAAAATACAATGCACCACAACCATTTTGTGATATTAAATAAATGTCACTTGTATTAATGCAAGCATTAGGAAGCAAATACACAAATTATTTTTAAAGATATCGAAGACGACAATGTTTGTTTCGAAACTAAAAGAATGGATTAAAGAATAAGAATTATTCAGTTCTTATCATTTAAATATAAAACAAAACAGTTCTATAATGTAGAACGTCTTTAAAATAATGATTATGTGTACCACATTTGCACGCACGCTGATTATTCTTAGTTGATTCGCTGGAAGACAGCAAATCTCATGTCTAATGAGTCACATTTCACCAGATCTTGCGTTTAAACGACTTCGATGATCCCCTTCTGTGTAGTAACTAATCAGCATTGTGTGTTTTAACGAAGAGGAAATTTAATAAAAGCTTCTTGCTTGGGACGCAAAAATCATAGTGCAATCAATGCAAACAATCTAATAGATTGATTTTACCAAAGTATTATGTACTAAGAAATCGCAAATAAGGAGTTGATATAAACTTTCAAAGTATGTAGCCGAAAGAGGAGTTAAAGTCGTATTCGTTTTAGTTTTATTTTTCATTCCGTCAAGGTACATTGACAACTTCAGCAAACACGTTTTGTTGCTTTATTAATGAACATTTAAAACATTATCCAAGTTCTTACGTGTAAAAAAAGATTATACAGCATATTTTTTTCTTTGCTTAATAGCCTAAGTCACCATTATTGTTGATGTAAATAATAATTAACTTATAACGAAAGAATCATCTATTCTAGAATATGTGTAATTATTGTGTGACTTAAGATAGATAAAAATTGATAATATTTCAACCCATACGAAGTTGGGTTGTACCACTACTAGAGAGAGAAAGAGAGAAAAAGTGAGAAAAAGAAAACAAAATATAGGAAATACCAGAGGAAGGAACTACGAATACAAATCGCACAAAAAAAATACCCACTATATGTATATGTTTGCTGGAAAAAAATGAACGACACAGAAAATTCCTTGTATGATACCATGGTACAATTCTTTATCTCAATTTTCGATTTACGATCATCTTCTTCTTTGAAGAATCTTAACTTGCGTTTCAATTATTGATTATGTTACTCATTGATACTTCTCATTCTTACCGTACCTTAAGTTAGCGTTTAAACGTTAGATCTATCGTGTATCTATCATTATACATAGTATCGTATGTAATGGTATGGACTCTGTATGTCGGACGCAGGGCAGTTCCTAGGTATTCGATTCCGTAAGCGAACGACCACCACTAAACAGGCATTTTTTTAAGGGAGCCTTTCGCATGCGCTTTAGTATTTGCTTTAGTACGCTTTTAGTACCTCGGTGGCATCGCGTCTGCCGGACCTGGGAAGCTAAAAGGTCAAAAAAATGAAAAATCGCACAATTAATTCCTCTTTGATCGCCGCAAGCGGCGCAATAGGCTGGAAAGTATAAGATGTAACACTGATATGCACGAATAGACCAGAAATTCTTTATTTCGTCGTTGATTTAATCTTGTCGCTGAAGATACTAAGGAAACCTGATGCCTTTTTATTGTCTCCGTCGCAACGCATGGACACACATTTGCCAAATAATACAACTTCCAGACCCAGATAAAATACTATACCACTATAAGCACTTATTCAGATAATACCCGTTAAACGAGTACTATTGGAGTAAGTACTATATTATATATTACTGACCTATTGACAAACATTAGAGAAGTTACGAAAATTGATAAATCACTCGTACGAGAACTGGTAATGGAAGATTATCAATCCCTTGAAATTACTCTTACTGACTGTGCCCAGGTCTGATAAGTTGTCACACGTTGAAAGTCATTTTATCGCTGCATCCAAGCATCTTTCGCCATTGTCGCAAGAGCGTATAAAAGACAATTTCAGCGGCTGTTAATGTATTTTCGATTCACGACTCGCGTTCTCAAACATATGAAAGAAAAATTTCACTATAAATGTTGAAAATGTTCTTCACCATAGATTGTTTGAAACGGGCGCAATAGGAATATCGCAACGCAATCGTTAGCAACCCGAGTCCCAGCTGTGGACATATAGATCTTGAAACAGAATACACGTTTCTCCACCATGAGTGTGTTTCAAGTGAAATCAAAATCATCAACCGCACGCATCTTCAAAACACATATATGCTGCTCAGAGGCGCAGTGTGTTATAACGCATTATGCTTCGATTACGACAAAACGCAACTAACTTCGATCTCGACGACGCTCAATTCGCGCATTTTTACCGCAGAGTACATAAAAGAAGAGAGGTAGTAATTAATTAATAAAGTTCCCGTAACAAGTATAAATACTTCCATAATCATTCCATCTTTATTTTGTCGATGTAACAAAATATTCTTGTGAACATTTTAATTTATTTAATTAATGAAGAATGAAATGAGTCAATAAAATTTTATAATATAGATTATAAACATAGGTTTACCACTAGTTATTTACGTGATTCTTGGAATCAAAAAGATAGTTACTTTTGAATATATTATTTGTATATAAAATAGTATCTCATTGAAATTTAAAAACGGTGTTTGATAACTATTTCTGAAAAATAACGGTTTATCAAGTGTTTTTTTTTTAATTTTTGATAAAATTATTTAATATTCATTATTAGATCAATATTAAATAATTTTATCAAAAATATTTATACAAGACAATAATTTTCGATGGAATGAGTACATAAAAAGTTTTTTTGATAGCAATTGGTTGGAATGAGAAAAAGAATTAAAAAATGATGTTTATTCAATTTTTTTATCTGAACCCATAACGAAAATTTAAAAAATCTATTTTGTAAATCTCGGTAACTTATATACATGCTGAAAATTTTATCGAAAGCGGTTCATCTTGACAGTTTCTCACGAATTTCAAGCAAAAACAGGTAATTTTTACATCTTTCGGTGACTGTAGCTTGACTATGTGTCAACCGATTTCGATGAAATTTTCAGCATGGATATAAATTACCGAGATGCACAAAATGCATTTTTTAAATTTTCATTATGGGCTCAGATAAATAATTTAAATAATATCATCTTTAATTTCTTTATCATTCCAATCAATTGCAATCTAAAAAATTTGTTTTATGCTCATTTCATGAAAAACTAGTTGGTCTAACATCTCAAAAATATTCAAGTACTTCGAACCAATTTTAAAAAAAGTTATTCCGTTTAAAAACGGAACGTTATATAGTATATAACGTATATAACGTATATAACGTATATATAGGTTTATACGTCTAGTATCATTCTTTAACACACATAAAATTAACATTTTAGGAAAAACGTTTTTATAAAGTAGGAAATTTTCATAAATATATATTTGAAAAATGTTCTACTGATTCCCCATCATTAAAGATGTATTTCCATACCAGTACATTGTGCAACAATAACTATCAACATTAATTACTTTATCATTTTTAGATAATTCATTAATTAAATAAATAAGTATGTATACTGCATTAATCTTCAAGTATGTCAAAAAATACAAGAACAAAATTTCTAAATAGTAAATTCATTAACTGCCTCCGTTCTCCTTTACACTCAACATTAGAAAAATTGCAGGACAGTTACTTTGATTTTTTCGACAATAAGAAATGAATTGTATGTCGTCGCATACACAAGAATACGCTTCCTATAATCATAGGACATACCCAACATCGCGCTAAGTGTCACACCTTATACTTTTACAGAAAATGTTTAGCCTATATCGATCCGCATGAAACGTGAGTACACTGAGATAGATCAGTGTTTACCGAATAAAAACGTTGCGCAAAAAGAGCGTGGTCGCATAATTAACGAACGATCATTCGCAGAAATTAATTGTCGCTCTTCAACGCTGTGACATCACTTTGGAAAACGCAGTTGTGTAAAGTGTAATAATTAAAAATAAACAAGGGAGAATAGGACTTACCGTCCACCACCACGCGGGGGACCATAAGCATCTGGTCTGTCGTATCCTTCGGTATAACTATAATTAAAAGTAAATGATTATTTCGTGTTACTTAAAAAGTAGAAATCAAAATAAATACGTACACAGATACGTATGTTATGTAATTACATAAAAAGTACTATAGACTTTCCTCAATAAGAACTTGCTACACAAATTGCTACATAACTTGCTATATAAATTTTTGACAAATAATAATTGAAAAAATTGTTACGTTGACTCGAGAGATCAATGATAAGAGGTAAAAGAAAAATCAAAAATAATAAACACTTGGTAGTACTGCATAAATAAATATGAAGTGAAACTTACCCTCCACCAACAGGCGGATATCCACCACTGGGGACGGCACTGCCAGGTCTTCTACTAAACATATCTGGTTGTGGTCCAGGACCAGTGCTGTAACTAGGCGCCCCAGTGCTGTAGCTAGGTCCAGTACTCATTGGCCTGTTAAACGGAGGCATATCATTAACAGGGGGACCATCCCTCCTGTCATAGGCCATCGAAGTTGCCTGACTTACCCCCCCGGGCCCACCCATCATATCCCCAGGCCCGCCCGGATAACCCCTGTCATACACAATTGGAATATGTTAACTTATTTTCATTCTATCCTGGATAATGCACCAAAATTTATTGCTCAAGCAATATTAATCTAAGATATATTGGACTTAGAAAGATTACATTAGAGAGTAGAAGCATCACAGGTTAGAATAAAAATTAAGTTTCAATTCATAATTGTTCTCAGATTTTTAGAAAACTAAAATATTTGCTTTTCTAAACACTTGATTTTTTCTTTAACATGTTGAGAACAAGTGAATCAATATCGATTCACAAACGGAATTCATATTTGAAACGATAGTGACAATGACAAGCATAAAGTTTAGAAAGGAACTGCACGTTGAAACTGAACTCAGAAGCTGAAAAGTAAGTGCTGCGGTGTCAATCATTACCGATTATGGGAATTTTATTTACACTTTTGCTCATCTTGAAACTCAGTTCTGAAACTGTCCTGAACGTGTTAAAGACATTTTTCAAAAATTTATTTGTGAAACAGGTATAATACATATCTTGCACTTTATAGTCTATGCTAACTTAAACTTTCGTTACCTAAATTAGTATTTCAGAAAATACCATCACGTTATAATCTATTGAAACATATTAGTGAAAATTGATTTTATGTAAAATTATAAAATTAAATCTAAAACTGGAAATGTATATAATGTAGATTACTTTACCAGTGGCTTTCATCATATCCTACATCTGAGTACCCTGTCCCATACCCAGTAGTGGCAACAGCACCACCACCATTTCTCATAGGGCCAGTCGCAGTTCGATCATAATCATTTCTAGCTGTATAATCAACTGTGCGATTTGCACCGAAATTGTCAGTACGTCCATAATCCATAGGACCAGGTGCACCACGATTAAAATCTCCAGTCATTCCACCTCCAACTACTGCAAATGGAAATTCTTTGTATTAAAATAATAATACTTTTGTATGTTATCATAAAAATATAACAAGGTTTTACTTAATAAAACCTACCACAAGGATTACCATAATCTGTTCTAGCTCCAAAATCTGCAGCGCGGGTATAGTCCGCAGTTCGACCATAATCGGCGGTGGCAGTTGGTCCATATCCTCCGACGGCTCCAGTCGCTGGTCCATATCCTCCTCCCATTCCTGGTGCTGTTGAAGTGTATCCCATTGCCGCGCTTCCCACGTTTTGTCCATACGCTCCACGATCGGTGTACCCAGTTCCAAAGTCTGCTCCACGTCCACTAAAGTCTCCAGCGCCACGATTGTAATCGGTGTACCCCGTTGCGACGCCACCTGCAGCAGATCCATCGTAACCAACGAGTTGGATCGGAAGAACTGTAAAGCATGCCGAGATATCCAGTTGATTTTTTAGTCTGCATTAAAAACACGTATCATGTATTAAGTATCACATCACTTTCTCATTGTGACTAATTGCTTTAAACCATGCTTTAAACTAATTGCTTTTTACACTAATGAATTATGTAATTATATTGATTCTTTATATTAAAAAGACATGTTTACATTAGTGCAAAAAAACAATATGTATTAACAAATTTAACCCTCTGCGGTCCAAAGTATTTCTTTCCTTTTATTTTAGAATTTGCTATAATATTGAATATACCCACATGGGGATTTAGAACAGCTGGGAAATAATACAACCATACTACAATGAAAATCAGCAAAATAAATAACTATTAATGTAAAAATCAAAGTCGAGTCTGGCTCGACACAGAATTGCAAAGGGTTAATAAAGTCATAAAGATTGTAGAAAGATATTGATAACAATGAGAAAGTAGTTTCATTAAAGTAAAAAATTATAAAAATTTGTATACTAACCTCTTCTATCATTGTATGGTCCAGGACGAGCGTCTCTACCACCGTCTCGTCCTCCTCTACCACCTCTCATTGGTCCACCTCTTCTGTCTCCATCCCTGCGTCCTCCTCCTGCGCCTCGTGATTTCCCAGTTGACTGTTCCACATTGATTGTCGCCCCTTTGAAGTTGGAATTGTGAAGAGCTTTGATCGCTGCCGCTGCATCTTCCTCTCGGGCCATGTGGACAAATCCATACCGATTCATGACATCGCATTCCGTTACTTCGCCAAAACGTAAAAATAATTGTCGCAACTCATCGTTGCGACAATTCTCTGGTAACCGACCCACAAATATTTTTGTTTTCCTCTGGAAAATTTAAATGTGTGGTTAGTCATAAT